AATCATCTTTTTTATTGATATTATATCAAATTTTTTAGTTTTGTCTCTATCAAACACATCGAAATAAAATAATACGACGATGAAAATAAAAATTAACAAATACGCTGTAGAAGAATCGATTTTTAACAACACAGAAAATTAGCGTGCTGGGAGTCAAGGAAAAGTTATATTTATTTAATAAAAAATGTCAAATTATTGAGACTAGAGTAGAATAATGTGCAAAAAATGCAGATAAATAGTCAAATTTCCTGACAATTCCAGATTTATAAAATTCTATCCAGCGGGGTCAAAATTAAAATGATTTTTATTTCTTATTTAAATTTAATTTTTTGGTAATTTCATTGTTTTTATATTAAATCTGCAAATAAACTCCCAGTGTTTCTTCAAGAGGAGAGCAAACGATTACAAGAGACAAGAGCCCTCTGCGAACACCCATGTTCCCAGGAACGAGACGATCGCTCGATTAACGCTATTTTTCATAACGGGGCGGCAAATATATATAAATATATATAAGACGGCGGTGAAGAAGAGAAAGCAATTATTTGCGTCCGCGCCGAGATTGGCAGCGTCGTCGCTTCGCTCCCGATACAATCCCGATCGGTCGCCCGTTCGCGTTTACGGTATTTTTAGCGGGACGCGCATATATCCGCGTGTAGGTAGCAGCAACCTCGAAGAAGGGACTGATGTCCCTCGTATAATGACTCTCCCGTCTTTTTCTCGAGCCTTCTCAATCTCTCGCACTCTCTGATGCATTCGCACGAACTTGGGTGCCCGCAGAATTTTTTCCAGGAGGAGACATGATTAACATTTTTTTATTATTTTTTGTTCTCTCTCAATTTTTTCAAAATTTTTTTTATATATTAAATATGCAAATAAATTGCAGTGTTTAGTCAGAAGGAGGCAAATGCACCCCACAATTTTGGTGTTTTGGATTTTTTTCATTACTCGTTTTATTCAATTTTATTATTATCGATAATAATCACGAATGTAAAATATATATTATAAGAAATACAAAATGTACGATTTTTTTCCATACCTGCATTAACGATAATATTTATAAATATGGATATCTATTAATTTTTATCGATATCGTTAATAAATAAATTGCCCGTGGAATATTTAGTCGATATATATTTTTTTACACGAGAACAATTAATATGCAATTATTGTGCGTTATCGTGCGTGAAATTTGGAGATTCGCGCTATTTCTTCCAATAAAATCGGCTTTGTCAGGGATGACTAAAGCTACAGATTTACCGTTCGATTAACACGGTCAATCGTACAATGCTCCCTCTCTCTCTCTCTCTCTCTCTATTTCTATCTCTATTTCTCTCCTTCCTCTTTCTCTCTCTTTCCGGTGAAGGTCAGTCCACTGAAGCGTGACGTGTTTAAGGATGTGCATAGAAAACCGTGACGTCACGACGCACGTTTGGATAGATGTCATCATGAATCACATCGGTATTATTAAGAGCATCTACCGTTCCTCGATGACGCGTGTTCAAAAACGGTCATCTCGCGAAATCTCACGAGATGCAATTCGCATCGGGATGCTGTACATTGTAAAAAAATATGTAATATATTACACAAAAATATGTAAAATTACATAAATAATAAGTGTAAAATTACACGATAAATAATAGAAATGTTTACCTTTTCATTATTTATCATGTAATTTTACATTTATTATTTATGTAATTTTACATATTTTTAATGTAATTTTACATATCTTTTTTACAGTGTACACTGAGAGAGAATTTTCTCTTGGAATTCATCCTGAAATTCATGGCAATCGTGGAACAATATGGTATTGCAAGAATTTTATAAGAATTTCTCCGATTAATATTTTTACCTCAATAAAAAATATTAACATCCATCACAAGAAGGTATACAAAAATATGTAATTAATTTTAAAATAAATATATGGTAAATAATAATTTTAAAATATATATTAAAAACTTATGACTCTTTAAACCAAAAAGTGATAGATAAACATAAAATATTTTATATAAATTTTACAATGCAGGATATCCTGATAATTTTAATATGCAACATCGTAATTTTCGACTTTTATCAAACATAATAAAATTTGTAGTGAAATTTGCGATAAAATATAACGAAAAATTCTCTGTGTGTACGATGACGAATTTGTTCAAACTTTGCAATTTTGTGAGAGATGCAAATTGAAAAATCTGTTATACTTTATTGCAATTAAAAATGCAGATGAAATGAGAGATTTTGGAAAATAGAGAGAAAGAACGGGATTGAATTTTTGAACATTTCAAAACGCGTGTAAAGTATTTCGTCACAGTTACAGATTTCTTATACTTTCCCTAAAGTTTCTCGAATATCTTATCGTACGATAATCGAATGTTCAGGTAAACACTTTCGAAGAATTTATTAGTTTGTATAAACAGGAGAAGTCGATCTAAAGAAATCGACAGTGATTCTACGTTGATTTGAAACAATATATTTGATTTTATTCTATATTTTATTTTTCAGAGAGAATTATTATATCAGAAAAATTTTGACATTCGGTTTTTCGATTATCTAATAAATAAAGAACATCTAGATAATATCTAAGATAATCCGAAAATTAAGAAAAAAATAAAAACTATACCAAATATAAAATAGTGTATTAGTTCTCGCACAAAACGAGAAACAAATATATATAAAAATATATATGTAAGTATAAAATGTATAAATATAATAATCTCAAGGGAAATTTATACGATAATTTTATATGATAAAATTGTGTGTATATAATTATTTCTTATCAGATAAATACATTTTGAATGTGTTTACAATTCGTGTCAGAAAATTTGTACGATTTTCTCCTCCTCGCGTTGCTGTATTATTTCATTAAATAATTTAAGAACCGAAGTAATTTAATAATCGACAATTAATCAACTTAACGGCGCCTGTTTTTGCGAAAATACAAAAGGTAGATCGACGACCGGCGCTTTTCTAAAAACAATTAAAAATAAAAATAAATTAAAAATAAAATAAAATAAAATAAAAATAAAAATAAAATAAAAAAAAATAAAATAAAAATAAATTAAAAAATAAAAAAAGATAAAAAAATTCTATCATCACGATTCCTCGTGCAAGTTCCTGGGGGACACCCTGTACATGTATATCGACAAATCGCGCAGACAGAAGACATATCAAAAGTTCCTTCGCGACGCTCGAGAGCGGAGGAACCACTTAAAGAATCCAATTGTCAATCGGGTCAAATGAAACGTACGTGTCCATGTATGAGTACATATATGTATATGCCTGTGCACACAGATATACATAGAAAATGTGCGTTGTTGCGGTATGTAGGTTTCTGCCGACGAAAATAGCGATTCTGATATACCTCGAAGAAATGTCATTCCGATAAACCATTTACGGGAAAGTTCAGATGTTCTTCAGTTTATGACATTTACATGTATGTATGTGTGTGCGTGTTCGTCCTCGCGACAGCGAGCACGCTCCTCTTTTATCGTTGGGTAATCACGCGACGCCCACGATAGCGAGAGATCGAGAACTCTCGCGAGGGTGTACGTCCATCGACGATAAATTGTGCGTGCGATATTTCCCCATCTCGGTTCTTTTATATAAATTAATACTAAAATATGTACATATAAAATATATGTTTAAAAAAAAATATATATATATATATAAAATATATTTTTAAAAATAATAATATACCCATATATATATATATATATATATATATATATATATATTATTGTTAAAAAATATATTTTATATATTTTTAAATATATATTTATATGTACATATTTTAGTATATATATAATATATATATATATATATATATATTATATATAATGTATATAAAATATATATAAAAATATCAAATTCTATACATAAATTATTTTTACATATATTTTATAAATAAAATTGTATGTAAAATATTATTATTGATTAAGAATATTAATTATTAATATTAATTAGTAATATTAATTAATAATATTCTCAAGTGAATACACAAGTTCTCTGATCGCGTGTATGATATTTTAAAAAATCACGTTATTATTTCCATTTATTGAACACATTGTAAAGAAACACAATGTTGCGCAATAATTTTTGTTTCTTTTAAAATGTAGTTTTCTGCATTTTTACACTCGAAATTGTAGCAGAGTATGTTTATATTCTGGAATAAGAAAGATATAAAAGAGAGAAAGTGTATTTAAAAGAGAAAATTACTTTGACCTATAACTCTGTTTTGTGAAAAAATCTTATAAATATATGCCATATTTCCTGACTGTTTTAAATACTGATGTCAAGATTTGCATTATCTCAAGTATTACTTGCGTGTATTTTAATTAATTAGAGAAGCAAACATCAAATTTTTCTATTATTTGCTAGACATGGAATAAAAACATGCATTACGTCGTATATAAAATCATCATAAATTTAATTATCCAAGATACATTTCCTCTTTGTACAAACAAGCTAATAAATTCTTGGAAAATTCTCGTTTATATAAATACTAATCACAGTATTTAATCATAACTTTACAAGCATTAGACGAACAGAATAATGTATATTTTGAAATATCATTATCTTCAAATTACATGCATATCTCTTCACTAAACCGAAAAGAGATAATCTATATTAATAGTTTTGAACTTTCCTCCATACTTTTTCTGATTAAGCACTCCAAATATTTTCCTCATACATTTCTAATCTGTTCCACGTTCAATATTTGCTTCTCTCCGTATTCTCAATTCCTCTTATTCTCTTCATTAAAATTCCCTATTTTCAATTCGCCTGATTTTTTTACCACAATTTTCTCTACGTCAACGTCATTTCTTTTTCTCTCTCCCTCTCTCTCTCTCTCTCTCTTGCTCCGTGATAAAAGTAATGATTCGCTCGCCCACGACGACGACGTAAAGCTCTGAATGGGAATCGTCGAGGAAGAAGAAGGCACACACATGCAACACGTTCACGCCGGCCGCGACGGACCGGCTAAAAATAGCGGGAATTCGTACCTTACGACGTGAACTCTGGAGCGCGGATTATCCTCCCTCCCTCTCTTCGCCCCGTCCTCGGGGTCCTCGAGGAAGTGTCCCGGTGCGCCAGCGAACTTGGAGTCTCGTCGCACGCGCCCAGGAAGCGAGCCAAGAGTTTTGTCAGCCGCCAGCCTGTTCGTCACACGGCGACGTTCCTCGCGCTTTCCTGAACAGTCGCGAGACACGCGGCACGTTTCCACTTCATTTTACACCGTGCACCCTCCGCGAGACGACGACGACGACGACGACACGACGGCGCGCAGCTCGAACGTTGCCATCGTCTTTATTTACTAATTTTGGACGTGAACGCCGCCGGGAGCGGGCAATCGCGCACGGACCGCGGCGACGACAGCGCCGCGGCGGCGGCGGGCGGTACTAATCCCGCCGACCAATCGGAACGCGCGACGAGCGCGCGCGCGCGCCGATTGGCTGTCAGCTGTCACTCGGGGGACACGTCCCAGCCATAGACGATACAGCGGACAAGATGAGTAGACTCGCATCACCGATTAATTATACATGTGGCACATTTGTTTATTTATATATTTATTTTTTTATGTTTATTTATTATACGATGGGTTTTATGCGATTGTATATATGTAATTGATTTTATTATTTTTACAATGGATTTTTTAAAGCACATTTCATGCTTACGTAACAGCTGATTTAATATCGTCAAAGTTTTCTTATCTTGTCTGTTGTTCTTTCTAAGCTGTACCGTTCGTGTACAAGAGTGCATGTCGCATGTTTCTCTTTGGTGGATGTATGTATACTCATTTTTTTAAATCCAATTTTTGTAAACTTATTATTAAATATTTGATTAAAGACTCGTATAATTTTACTGCCAATTTATAGCTGTTAGATTAGATCTTATTTTGATTAATTGTTATCATAAATTGTAGATGAAAATATCTGCGCATTGAATTTAACCTCAAAATGAAATAAATGAACATCAAGCAGGGGAATCAAGTTATGCGATTACATTGATAAAATATTGTTATAATATTAGAGCTGAAATTTACTATTACATTTTCCAAGATGGAATCTGTACCTGATGAAACTTTTGACACTCGTATTCAGGTATGTTTACTTGTTTAATATTGGCACACCAGTCAAAATTATTGTTTATATAAGTATATTACATATACAGGGTGTCCGGTAACTAACGGACCAATGATTAAGGGCGGATTCTCTGGCCAATTTGGAGACGATTTTTCCTTAGCAAAATGTTGAGAAGTCAATAATTTTCGAGTTATAAGCGATTGAAAAAAATGGGTTTTTTGAAAACTAAACGTTTTGGAGTTAACAGTCTAACATAATTACAGTCTTCAGTTAATTTCAAGTAGAGTTTACTATAATAAAATTTTAATTTGAGGCTTAGTTATAAAGATATATAATGACAAATATTGGAAAGTTGTAAAAAATGATGACCTTTTTCGACATTTTTGCTGAGGAAAAATCGTTCCCAAATTGACCAAAGAATCCACTTGTAATCGTTGGTCCGTTAGTTACTGGACACCTTGTATACTTATTTATTTATAATTTTATGTTTAGTTACTTTTGTATATAAAAATCATGTGATATATTTCAGGAAGGATATGATGTAATAAGAGCTGGAATCAAAGCTGCTAATAATCTGCCAGCTGGAGACAATTTTAACTATTATGTTTGCTTTCCAAGTTTTAATGAGGCCAGGAATAAAGGTCAAAAAAAAATATTGGCTGCAATGCAGACAATAATAAAAACAGCAGGAGGTTCCAGCAATATTGAAAGTGCAGATGTTGATGATAAGTTTGAGGTTTTATTAGAAATAAATGATCAATTACTCGATCAAGCTGTGAGTATTGCAAACTTATACAACAATTTATGTTTCTTACATGACAATCTAAGTTTTACAATGAATTTCTCTAGAATATATTAATGGATGAAGAGAGCGGTATTTTACGAAATCCCCAAGTTGAATTGATTGTATCACAAATGCCAAAACCAATTGTGAATGGCAGTTGGAATATAAGAAGTGACCGTACTAACGAAGGCTCGGATAGTTCTGAAAAGATACGATTACTGGCTGCAAAGAATGTACAAAGACCGCAGTTAATGTTCAAGGACAAGATTAACAATAGTTCAAAACCATGGATGCCTCGAATTAAGGAGAAACCAAATTCTCTGAAACCATTGGCTCTTTATGTCGAAGAAGGCGAACAGGGTGAAGTCTTTAATCATCCTTACGAATTTGAACTGGATAAATTTAATACACCTGAATGTCAATTGAAAAAAAGTGTGCCTGTGCAATACAAACCACTGGAGAACACTGAATTCAAATATATCGAGAAAACATTGGACATCAAGATTCTTCTGGAGGATCTGAAAAGTCAAAAAGAAATAGCTATAGATTTGGAACATCACTCTTACAGAACGTTTCAAGGCATAACTTGTCTGATGCAGATATCAACAGTGAACACAGATTATTTGATCGATACTTTGGCTCTGCGGTCAGAATTGCATCAACTCAATGAAATCTTTACAAAGCCTACAATCTTGAAGGTCTTTCATGGTGCTGACATGGATATTCTGTGGCTTCAAAGAGACTTATCGCTATATGTTGTAAACATGTTCGACACTCATCAAGCTGCGAAACAGCTCAACCTACCCTACCTCAGTTTGGCTTATCTACTAAGCAAATATTGCGGCATAAGTCCCAATAAACACTTTCAATTGGCCGACTGGCGTATAAGACCTTTACCTACAGAATTGATGAGATACGCTAGAGAGGATACGCATTACCTACTTTACATAAAAGACAAGTTGAAGAACGAATTGATCGAGTCTGCTAATGGCAAGAGCAATATCTTGAAGTCCGTGTACGACCGGTGCACCGACCTTTGCAAACGAACGTACGTAAAATCGATCTGGACGGAGGAGAGTTGCATGAACATGTACAAAAAGAGCCAGAAATCGTTCAATAACAAGCAGATGTACGCGCTGCTCGAGTTACACAAATGGCGAGACATCACCGCGAGAGAAGAGGACGACAGTATCGGCTACGTGTTGCCGAATCACATGTTACTCAATATAGCTGAAACTCTGCCACGTGAAATGCAAGGTATCCTGGCGTGTTGCAATCCAATTCCACCATTGGTGCGGCAAAATGTGCTGAAACTCCACAAGATAGTGCTAAAAGCCAGAGATCAGCCGCTCGTAATGTCCATTCCAGAACAGGACATTCGGCAGAGGCCGACGCAGCAGACTCACGTGGTAGATTCCAGGACGTCGTTGTACACGCCACATGATATACCGAGTGGCACTGAAGCGAGAACAGATTTACCCTGTCTTTTGGATGAGAATGTTTTGTTGCAACAATCAAAGACGAATCAGCATCAAACTGTGAAACACAATGTGACATTATTTGATACACCAGACACATCAGAGGTAAAATGTTAATGATAGTAATTAACAAGATTACAATATAGCTTCATAAGTTTTAATATTTAGAAAAAATTATAACACTATAATTAAAGACATAAAAAGTTTTAATACTATAAAAAGTATTTTAATACTTTTTACAAGTAATTGTAAGTATTTTTATTAAAATAACACAAAATTGCACTTCTTATTCCAGGACGAAGAAATGAAAGATAGCAATGAAAAGAAAAAAGTCATATTTGTAAGTCCATATATGAGATATAAGTGTGTACTACCAATGGTAGCACATTACGAAGCGAAAGAACGAGAGAAACAACAAAAAGAAGAAGAAAAGCCTTCAACTGTACAACAAAAGGAAGGCATAGATGAAACTGAAATCAATGAGAGTAAAGATAGAGTTTATGAGCACTTCAAACAAATGTCTCAAACTATGAATAAAGAAGTTGAAGTCTTGCCTAAAAAGAAGAAGAAGAAAAAAAGAAACCTAACCAGTTCACCTTAAATCAAATAGCACAGTATAAGAAAAGAAAGAGAGAATCTAACGTTATCAATAAAACTCTAAACGATTATAAAAACTGTACTACGTCGTTTTCTACATCGACTTCAGATGCCAGTGTTATGCACCCGTCTAAGAAAATGAAACGAGAAGAAACAAGTCAAGAATCGAAAGGTAAAAATAATCCTGAAGTAATTGCATCAATAAGGTAAGATTTAAAATTTAATTTTAAAAAAAGGATACTATATGTAACATGGAGATCATAATAATGTTCTTCTAATTCGGCGACAGGGCTAGGAAAAAGAATGAGAAAAAAGCAAATCAACAAATGCTGAAATCACAGGGTATGCTACCGTCAGCGAAATTCGATTACAAATCAGTGGATTTCAGCAGCTTCCAAGGTGGCAGTACAGCGAGTAGTTCGAGTCATGCTCAATTCCAGCAACCTCGAGTAAGTAAATTTATTTTTTACTTTTTTTGCGCGTTTAAATATATATTTTCGTAAATAAATGTTAATATTTGAAATATTAATAATTAATTATTAAAAATATTTAAAATACTTAATGCGAAAATCTTTTAGCAAAAGAAAGACAGAGGCCCACAAAAGAGAAAGAAACAGAAATTTAACATCTAAATTGTACAATATAATTTGACCTTTCATCAAATTATCTTCAGAATGAAGAAAAATGTAAAAGCTAGTATTAATTTTCCTTGACATTGAAAAATTTATGATGAAATTTTGTCACGTCTTCTAAAATGTAAAACACAAATGCAAAAGCTGAATTCTGTAAGTATAAAAATCCTTATTTAATTTTTTTTTAATACAGATTTTTTAGTGCAGAGCATATATCTGTAAAAAGCATCTGTAAATATGAGTGTTATGCATTTTTATGAAAATAAAGTTTGCTAAAATCCATATACATTATGTGTGATTATGTCCATATATAGCCACATTTATGCTAGAAATATTTTGCACCATTATTTTTATCAATAAAACAGAGATATTTTTTCCATTAAAATAAAAGAAGAATATTAATACTTGAATACCTCAATATTAACATTTTTAAGATCACACGTTTATGCTACCAAGCAATTAAAAGATATAATGCATCTAAACTACATCCAATTCCACTTGGCACGTATTCGCAGTTATCGCTTTTTAATCCAACTTAGTCATCAGGGTCAGTTGTTTTTTTATAGATCGTGCTATATCATCTTAACCAGACAAAAAATATTGTTTGTTTAAGAATCTTTCCCCTCTCCTTTGCCTTGTCAAACAAGTATGATAATATTGAAATACCAAACGAATACAAATGTCTTAACGATTGATCAATCACGTAAATGTAACATCAAACGTAAATTGTACGTTAGTACGCGACGATGACGTTCATCGCTCTCGTGTTCGCCGTTCTGTGGCAATTCTCCAGCATCAGAGAGTATTCCTGCCTATGGGAACTGTCTATACAGCCAACGAGCATAATTCAGCCGCTTCAAGATACGTTAAATAAAACGACGCATATCGCGAAAGAAGTTGCCAGATCGTCTCCCCTTAATGAGACCAGTCTGGTTAATTTTTTCTTTAATAGGACTACCCTGGCGAATTTTACGTACAACGTTCACGAAATCGACTTTAACGAGCTGACGATTGATGAGGTGGACTCCGCTGAAAACTCGTCGGGAGTTGCGCAAGTGGACTGCCTTGGATTGGGAAAGACGGTCGCAATGAGTTTAGAAGGGCTCTTCAGGAGCAAGCCTAATGGCAGTGACGCGCTGGAGGTACGATTCTTCCTCTCCTCCAGAAAACAACCGCGTCGCGTAGAAGTGGTGCTAGGCGAGCAGTTCGGCTTGGAGTGGACGGATTTCAAGATAGAACGTAGGACGGTGGTAATAGTGCACGGTTTCCTGTCGCATGGCCAGGAGAAATGGATCAGCGATATGGAAAGGACATTTCTCCAATGGGTAAGGATTCATCGACTGCGATCTCATCTTTCTCTGGTCATCAAGTTTTTTTTATCCCGAAACTGACACAGGGCGACGTTAACGTGCTGGTGGTAGATTGGAGCGCTGGAAGTAACACGTGGAATTATTACAAGGCGGCGGTCAACACCAGAATAGTGGGATATCAGATATCAAAGTGTGTAACTTTAGGGCGAGAAGGTCCAAAATCCGAAAGACGTCTGAGAGATGTTTCGGAAATATTTAACAAATATCTTTTGACGATTCGGTACAAATAAATATTTTAAATTGTGTCTTGATAAAAAAAGAGCTTCGTTGGCTTCTTTCAAGACGATTTATCCTTCAGACGACTCTCGCAAACAACTTGTTACCTCGATCAAATCAATTCTTATATGCTTTTTTTAACACTGACCAATTCATCCAAAGATTTATAGAGCATATAACGAACAATACAATCAGCAATGAAGGACCGAATACGAGCAATTGGGGTCCCTTACATATGATAGGACACAGCCTCGGCGCCCATATCTGCGGAATGACCGCGAAAGAGCTGAAAAAGCGACAGAGTAGATGGACTGTCCAGAGGATCACCGGTCTAGACCCTGCACAGCCGTGTTTCCGCAACGCCGATCCGTCCGTTCATTTGCATAAAAATGACGCATCATTCATCGACGTGATACACACAAACGGCAGATTACTCTTGAGTCTGGGTCTCGGCTTACCCGAGGCCATAGGTAGCCACATTATAGAAAATTGTTTTTAATTTTTTTACTTATAATTCTTCTATGACATATCTTCGTAGGTCACGTTGATTTCTATCCCAACGGCGGCAAAACGCAACCCGGCTGCGTCAAAACGGAGACGTCGTACTTCGATTACTTGCAGATTCCTACAGCCGGTTAGTACCAGCGAAACACCTTATTTAAAGCCGATTGTTCCAACTTCTTGGTAAGTTCTAAACCCGACAGGCATATCTTCTTTTAGAACTTATTTGAAAAGAGATAAAAATATGCTACCTGTCGGATAAAACTTACTAAGAAGTTGGAAAAATCAGCCCTTAGTTGATCCAAGGAACGGGAAGTAAAGTTTGTTATCGCGACTTTCAGCGATACAAAAAGCGATCTGCAGCCACGGACGTTCCTATCTTTACTTCACGGAATCTCTGGCGTCTGACGCGGCGCACAATTGCAGTTTCTGGGCGCATCATTGGAACATGACGTTCAGGCATCTTTCGCAAATAATCGCCGAACCGTGCGACGTGAAAGTCTGCTCGGAGATGGGCATCAGGGCGGAGATGTATCGTCACCGCGGGACCTTTTTCGTGGCTACCGCCGGCACTCCTCCGTTTTGCGGTAAATATATTATATCACTCGTCAGATAATTTAATACGTATCTCATCCGATATCATCCCGTTACAGCCAACAGCACCGACGTCAACGAGGAGGTGGATAAGCAATTGCGAAAGGAGCATTATGGATAAAGGCTCGACTGGTGGTGCATCAACAAACAACTTAGGTAAATCTGTAAATAAATGCGTTGTTAGCACATACTGAACAGTACATTTAAATAATAGCTCCTTATATCTGGATATTTACAATTGAATGCGTTTGATACAAATAATATGTACAATTTTCGGCGTCTTTCTTCGCTCTCTCGCTGCTTCGATCTCGTATGTGCATTCATATTCTTAATAAATTACAAAAAACGCATGATAATCTGAATTCTTAAAATGAGATACGATACATACATATACAACAACGTGCTTGAAAAATAATGTTTTCCAAAGGTTTGGAAATACATCGATAGCTCTGAAGAATTAAAGGAGTACAAAAGTAATGATCATAATCACTATGGCAGAGATAATAAGTATGCCAGCTTCTTGTATCACCTTTCATACTAGTGAAATATAGTTTCAATTTTTAGAATATGGGATAGTATTTTTTAATTAAAAATGCATCGTATATCTCTAACAAGGTAAATAGTATGCTCGATGAATTGTAAAGTGCAGTGTGTCAGATTTAATAAAATGTCGATTTCTCCTTGAAAAGGATACAAATAAACGAGTACTAATTATATAAACAGTAATAAAAATGATAAATACGTCATATACGAAAATAGTACCGACGCGATTAAAATATTTCCACTAGTAGGCGGACGCGTCCCGTCTCAGCGATGATGGTAACTGTTATTTGGTATTAATTCTTATGTGCGTCGTTGTTATTATATGAGCTTACGATCCAAATACGCTCGATTTCTACGCGTAAAAAGTAATCGTCACGTGTAACGCCCTATATTGGCACATTGTATAACACTCTTACCTGGTTCAGCGAAGCCGTATGATCAAGATTTAAGAGGACTCGCGTGGAACTCACGTTAACACCGAGCGTTATTCGATGAATACAAATAAGTCGTCTATTAATGTATAACTTGCACGTAAGTGGCCGGAAATATGCCGGTACGGCCTCTGCACTCGCCTATCCACCAGCCGTCCGCCTGCTTCTGATGAACGGTTATCAAGTCACCCGGATTGAGACTGAGCTCGTCGTTCAAATTCGCCGAATACTGATAGATCGCTCGACACTGCTCCGTGTGTTCGGTCTTGGCCGTCGTTACCACTTCCGCCCCGTCAACCGCCTCCTGGTTGTTGTTGTCCTCCGAGTGACTGCTGAACTCGTCGAAGTCACTAAAATCGTCCTCGTCCGGCGGATTCTCGGAATTTCCGTCGCCAGCTGTCCGATCAACCCAGTCGCGTGTCTCGGTATCCTGATCCTTCGTCAGGTGCATCTCGAGCTCGTCATCATCATCTTGAATCTCAAAAGATTCGTTCTTTGCCCAAGAAGGAATCTGCAAGTGGACGACCAACATTATTTGTTTCGCGTTCTTTTTTATTCGGCGTAATTTTTATTGTTAAAGTGAAACTATAGTTCGATAACTCGTTTACCTTAAGAACACTTTGCTGCAAGCCCTGCTTGTCTCTCGAAACCAGGATATGATCCGACAAAGGATGTTTGGATCGTTTGCTGCCTTCTACTTCCGCGAGCGTACCGCCGACCTTAAATCTGGCCGCTTCCAGATACAGCAACATGGAACGCATCTACGACAGGGTGCAACGATTAATTCACGCGTGTTTAATTAGGATGAAAGAATTCCCAATACCTAAATTGGACGTGAGAAAACTTACGTGATGCAGCTTATCCGTCACGTTCTGCGCGCTCTCATCCGCCGCGAAGGCCGGTGTCTTAATGAAGGCCCGATGTAACGTTTCTAGACCTTCTCTACCTCGCCTCTCCCTCTGTCGAGATCTTGCCTAATTAGATGCAGCACCCTCACTAGCGCTTGCTTCCGTCGCTCGCGGTTCATCGCCAGCGTGACGTGTTCGGCGTAAAAATCCGGCAGTAGCTGCTCCGCATTCGTCGCGTCGTTGCTGTCCATTCGACGAACGAGGTTCTTCAGGACTTCAAGATCCTGCGACACGTTGCAGCTTCGCACGGGAGTTAGCAGGCGATCGACGCTCTAAAGATAAAACATAGATGAAATAGATATCCTTCTTATGTCATCTTTATCTGGATTACCAAAGTATTATTTATATCTCCCCAGCAAACACAGTATATAAATGTTATATATTTAACTATTGTTATATATATAACATAGTTATATTGTCATTATACCCCAAGATAGCACTGACTTATCAATACATCAATGTGCTATTTGGTATATAATTACAATATAACTACAATGTAATATATGTTATATTAAAATGTTACATCTATGAGTGAGAAATTACAACTAACATGGATGTTACATGTAACGTACACGTTATATTCCGTTTTATTATAGCAATATAACAATTATATATCGGTGTTTGCTGGGTCTCTTTAGATCAAAAGAAAATCTTCAAACAATTGTAAGATAACGTTCGTGTCGAAATCTATCCCTTCGTTCGCTCTTTTCTTTTACCTGTTGCAGTTTTGGCGCGAGCGCCTGCAGATGCGTCAAGTAAACATTGGCAAAGTCCTTCAGGGCGCTGAGTCGCTCCTCCTCGAGCAGCTCCATTTGCTTCGCGCCCTTCCTCACCGTGCTCTCGTACTCCAGTCTGGCCCTCTCGGCCCTCACGCTCACCGTGTAAAATTCCGTGTCCGCGCGTCGCGACGAGTCCTCGGCCTTCCGCCGTCTGGTCTCCAGCTTGTTCGCTTCCTTCTCCGTCATGTGGTGATTCGACAATTTATTGTTGCTCTGCTGGCTCTGACTGATGGTCTGCAGCCGCGCCAGGTCCTGCAGCCTCTCGTTCTCGCGCGCACACGCGAAGCTCTGCTTCTTACTCTTCGCCGCGATCCCGCGCCATTCCTGGAGCGACTTGGATGCCTTGTCCACTGAATTCTCGACGGACTTCCTCGATCGACCCTGCGTCTCCGCTACACCCACCTGTGTTCAGCAAATACGCACTCATTGATCTCTCATTGTTCATTTTCTGATCGTGAGATCTTGTAGTTCAATCAATTACTCAATTCATCTCAAAGCATCGGCATCACCCTTTCAAAAATTTATCTTGTAAAAAAAATAGAAAGTAATATATTTCAAAAATTTGTATTGTTATATTATTACGTCAACAAACATAATGTATAATATTTATACAAATGTACTCAAATATCGAAAAATATCTTTATAACTGAAGATAATTCACTCTTTTGTCAATGTACAATTTTTCATCAAGGTATGAATACCTGGGTACCAACTACGCGTTTTGAACAATTTCTCTCTAGCAGCTGCTAAACATCGAACACTCTTTCCCGTTATAATTTTCGGATGAGATTTTCGAATACAAAGGGCCTTTCTATTTTGTTTCCAGCGGAGAGAGGTTTCAACACGCGTTTTCAACGTTTAAGACTGCTTCGGGCATCCGTTCATTGACAGTATATAGGATTAATGTCGTTTTTATCGGCGCGTTGCGTAAGCACGATCCCGCGTACGCACAGGCCGGTCTTTCCTCCTTTTGCGACGCGGCATAATTATATCTCGAAGAGACTCACTCTGAGCGGTTTGGCGAGCTGCTCGCCGAGCGCGATGCCCCATAGCCGATGGGCTTCCGCAGCAGCCTCCATCTCCTCGCCGACACACCTCCATGCCTCGTTCACGCCTCCGTTGCTATTACCACCTGCATTACGAAATCCGTTCGTTAAGACGTGATCTGATTTTCTCTCTTTCGAACGCCACCCATCTCGCATTCGATCGACGTTTCTGAAGCGCTTCTCGATACAATATATATATATATATATATATATATATATATATATATTTTATATATATAAATTTAATAAACATTTAAATTATATATTGATTGAAAAATAAATATAACATTTCCTACCTCATTCACTAATTTATCATATTTATCTAATTCATTTATTTTTTAATCAATATATAATTTAAATAATTATTAAATTTAATAAACATTTAAATTATGTATTGATTGAAAAATAAATAAATATATATATATATATATATATATATATATTATAATGGCGCGATCAAGACAAAAATGGATAACTATATATTATTTTATATATAGAAAAGACATATATATATATATATATATATATATATATATATATATAATGGCGCAATCGAGACAAAAATGGATAACTATACATGATTTTATATAGAAAAGACACCTTCCTCTCTAATAGAAATGCAAATAATAATTCTCACTTTCTTTGGAATAAATTATGCTATAAGTAGAGTCGAGAAATACATAATTTATGATTTATCATTTAAATACGTGAGAATAGAAAACGTGATTTGAATTTTCATATTTAAAATAAATAATTTTGCAACATACGGCTCAAGAAATTAATAAACTTTTGCCGAAGGAACATCTTACCACCTGAATATTCTAGTATTATAATTATCATGATTATATATTACTACGTGTAATTATCAATAAAATAAATATTGATACCTCTTTGGCACAAACTTCTGTCATCATTATTCACAATTTAAATGCATAATAAAATAAAATATATGATTTTAATTTTCAATGACATTTACGATAAAATAAAATAAAAATTGCAACGCATGCATATCTCAATAAACTAAAAAATCTTTCCCGAAGAAAATCTTGCACGTCATTCTAAATATTCTCCAGTATTATAATTGTTATTATTACATGTGTAATTATCAATGAAATGTTATAGATGCAAAATTAAATGATTAAATAAAATTAAATTTATTATAGATGTAAATTGATGGTTGACAATCACCTTGATCCTTGGCGCAGGCCTTCGTCAACTTGCTGCTGAGCTTGCTGAGTCCTTTCGCATAAGTAGCTTCCAACTCGGCTCTGAAAATACATACGTTTGCATTTTTCCTTCGCGGAAGAACCGCGTTTGCACGAAAGATGAAAGGTGAATAACCTAATAAATATATATATATAGGTATATATATATACCTTTCGTGAAGAATCGACGCCAATTCTTTGCAGAAGTCGCCTCCCTGTTTGATGTATCTTCGCACATCTTCGAACCCACCCTGTCCTCCCTGTAAATAATAAGGAGAAAAAATTAAAAATGTTGCGCTACAACAATTGAACGATTAAAGAATTTTATTTTATTTAATAATTGAAAAGAAACAAACGGTATAAAGCGCTTTATTTTGCGATAAACTTGTTATCTCACGCGATATTTCTAATACATAAAGATGATTGAACTCTGGAAATGGAGATTCAACGAGTCTGCAAGATCTCAGAAAAATCTCTTTATAACATCATCATCATTAAATGGAAAGCTGCTTCGTATCAAAATTTCAAGGGGAGAAATTTTATATACGTGTGCAATAAATTTTCAAATAGAGAGTAAACAAGAGAGTTAGTTCTAAATATTTTTCGATAATAAAAGAGAGAGTTGTAAAATGGTAAAGGGGAAATATCGATTTGCATTCAATTTTATCACATCTACATCTGATGCGCATAATAAATATGTAATGATGATAATAATAATAGAGACAAAGAGAAAAAAAGAAAGAAAAAAGGAATGAGAGAGTGCTATTATAATGATGAATACACTTAATTATGTATGTTAAACGCGTTAATTCTTCCTACTCTCTTTCTTTCTTCCCATCAGAGTCGAGTTAATTATTGTTTTAAATTAAGTTTAGTTAAAGTTAATGACTTATAAAATTAAGTCTAGTTACATTAAAAATTGCATAAACAAAAAAGTAACTCAGTTAAAGTTAAAATTAAATTAATTAATTTAAGTGAAATCAAAAGTTAATTTTAATTTTTTAAATTTATATATTAAATAAAAATGACTTTAAAATAAAAAAAACTTTAAAATTGTTAAATTTAATATTTTATTTGTTAATTTCTTTAAATTTATATAAAATAACAAATAACAAAAATTTTGTTTTTCTGTATAGGAATGTATTTTATTATTTGTATGTATTTATTATTTTAAGAAAAAAATAATAGCAGACGAAAAAAATGTTTAACTTGAGAAAAAAGTTAATAAGTTCCAATTTAAAAATAACTAGTTCGAGTTAAAAATTGACTCATTTAAAATTAACTAAGCTAAGTTAAAAGTTCTTAACTTTTAATTTTTTTACCCAACCTTGCTTCCCAAAGATCTTTAAACGTTCGGATAATAACTTAAAAAGACTCGTCGTCCCGTTTTCGCCTTCGAGTGATAAAAATACGATTCCACGCTTGAATACACTTTGCCCTCGGGGAGGAGAAGACGCATAAGTTAGCGGTAACCACGCATCCGTGGTCCATCAGATACAACATCGGCAGGCCATCGTACCGAATCACGGCATGATTTCTTGCGTGCAAATCGCATTTCCGATCACGTGTTTTTCATTTTTACTCACGCTTGAGCTAAAATGGAATTGCGATGCGCACACGACAAGATGCTTCAACGTTAAAAAAAACGTCAAAAAAAATTTATAACAAGCGACAATTTAGAGAGAAATGTGGAAAAAAGACGAGAAATTTACAAATTAAACATTTTTTAAATTGAATAAAATTCTTCCACAACTTTTCTGTAAGATAACTTTTCCTATAAAACATATTAATCACATATTATATATTATATTCTTATATATATTTATATTATATAATATTATATATTTATATTATTATATTATATTATACAATATATTATATAATATATAATATAATAATATAAATATATATAACATATTATTATTATATACTATTAATAATATAATATTATTTTTATTATTTTATAAAATATTATGAAATTATTTATAATTATATTAATATAATGATTTTATATTTATATTAAAATATAACACTAGTAATAGCTAATAGCGAGATATTAATAACGTAACGTTGATTTCGTCAACGTTAAAAATATGTGTGGGATGCTTCATTATTTCGTCATTTATACGATCATGCCTGCCTACATTTTTCTCTCCCTATAAGCACGTAAAGTGCTTTAGTCACAGTGGAAGGCCGGGCGTATGTCATTATCCACTCATCCAGTCGTTCGCCTCTCATTGCTGTTACGCGTTTACTTAGCTTTCTGCTGTATTTGTTGCGCGGGATTATCGTATAAACGGTACTTAGAAACGGTACTAATCTGATCACATTTTGTTTACAAAGCACACAGGTTACATAAAGACAAATTGTATGGGAAATATTAAAATTCATGGAACATATCAATTGTAGACAGAACATTTTTTCACCTCTTTATTAATATGTTTGAAATTACGTTTTGTTTTCTCAAAATTTACATTTAATTAAATAAGTCAATATATTTATTATTTAGAGAGAGACATTTTCACTATCAATTTTTAATTTTTTTATTATTTTCAGAAGTTTTAACCTTCGTAAAAAAAAGGCTTTGACAGAAACACTTATTGCATGTATATAAAAAATGAAGATTATATTGTTTTGTTTTCATAAAATTTTAATTTAAATAAATATGTCAATAAATTGTTTATTTAGGAAGAGAGACTTTATTTAAATTATTGAATTTTATTTTAAGGAATTTTTACTTCGTAAAAAAAATGCTTTGACAGAAACACTTATTGCGTGTATTTTTGAAAAATGTTTAGATATTAAACATGGCAAAATTGGTAAACACGTGTGAAAGTCGATACCGTCAAATTACTAATTAGACGAATATTAAAGACGGTGGACCGGTTCGTGGCGATAAAATCGCGAAATCAAGGAGAAGAGATGACACTTTAAGAGAAAATATCTAGAAAAGAGACTGTCGCGTCTTCAATAAAATATAAGCATGTTTATTTCGCACCTACTATTAACATTCTTTTGTATTTTAATGCGTCGAGGCTAACTTCGATTCGATCGCCCGGAAGCTGGGGAAAGGAAGCTCTCGCCGAGACTCATCGTCCCGGAAGTCAGCGATAAAATCGCGAAACATCAACTATGAAAATAGGAAAGCCTTTTGTTCGTGTGATAAATATTCCCGCGGCTATCGGATATCGCGTTCTTGTGGCTGGTTAGATGTTTAATCCTCTCAATTAAAGCTTAATCATAACCCGAGGTGATCGGTGAAAGTAAGCGTTAAACTTGATGGGCCCCGAAGGAAGCTGAAGTGCCAATTAGCTCGGATATATGTGTGAATGTGTGTAGGCGAAGTCGCGAAAAAATCTCATATGATATGCGAAACCTTATCGTAAATTGTAGCGAGAGAAAATGGAACAGTTTAGTAAATCATCGGGTCTCTGACAAATAATGTTTCAGATTGTATTAGCTATCCAGTTCCTATATATGTACATATAGTATTTATATATCTTTTCTAGAAAATATTATAAATTTATTATTAATATTTTCTGATATATATTTATGTAATGTTTATTATAATTTATTCACATTATTCGCTACCATTTTTTAATGTTTCTCCGAACGAAAAAAATTTTGGACATAAATATCTTTTGCATGTAATATACGTATAATTTTTTAAAAGATTAAAATTTTGGCAGTAAAGATACAACAAAATTTAAGGCAATTTTAATTATTTACAAAAAAAACTAATCTGTGAATCATAAGAAAACTTTGCATGAATCATCTTGAATGTTTGAATACTACATTTTTATTTTAAAAAAATGAGATTTTTTAACTATGTAATAATGTTATGTAGATATAAGAATATTCATGTGAAAATATTTCTACTTCTTGTTGAATAACTTTTGAATCGTCGTTAAATTTCTTGCCACGCCTTTATAAATGCGATATAAAATAATCCACAATCTTTTCACATAATCTTTTTTCATTACTTTCGACAGAAAATTACCATTCTACACAAAGCTATCGAAGCGGTGTTAAATAAGACTGACAATGGTCAAATCGAACTAATCGGCTTTTTACATTCGAATTGCAACTTAAAATTGCATATCTCCAATAAATGCGAAACGTTAGTCATCGTGGATATGTGATTCATAAATCACGTAATGATTACAAATCATATAGTAAATCAACAGATATTTCTGAAAAAAGAAAGACAAATATACCGATATCTATATGTTTTATTACAAACTCAGGGTTGGGCAGATATATGTATCTTAAAGTATCTGAGATACTTATTTAAATATGTATCTTATTTAAATACGGTATTTAAATACCGAATAATCAAGTATTTCGAATTTTGTAATTAATTATTTTATTTAAATGAATCTTGTATTTAAATATATTTATGTAATTACATATATAATATAATATATGCTATTATATGTTTATTTTAATTATTATTAGATTTTATAAAGTTTAAAGTTCAAATGAACTTATCTTTCAAAGTTAAAATTAACTTACTTTCGATATTATTTTTATATAATTCTACCGTGAGACTATTATACTTAATATTAAAGTAATTACAATAAAATCATCTACTATGTAATCTAAATTTCATTTTTTAAATAATAGTAGATAATCTTTTTATAATTACTTTAATATTAAGTATATAGTATATAATCAGAAAATTAAAAAAATAATTGTATTTAAAAGTATTTATAAATGTATTTAAATATAATTAGTGTTTAAATATATTTCGAAATCAAAGTATTTCAATAGTATTAAAATATATATCAAACAGTATCTTGTTTATTTAGGAAGAGAGACTTTATTTAAATGACTATCGATGTTTTAAATTTTTCAATTATTGAATTTTATTTTAAGGAATTTTTACTTCATAAAAAAAAATGCTTTGACAGAAACACTTATTGCGTGTATTTTTGAAAAATGTTTAGATATTAAACATGGCAAACAGTATCTTGTATCTTGTATTTAAATATTTTGTTTCTGCCCAACCTTGTACAGATTGTACGTATAATTTTCTATTTCGCAAATATTTCTGTGGGTGGGAAAAAGGGGTGGATTTCCTCGCCGCAAACTCGACATTCGATCATCGCGCCTTCGTAATATCGAATTATGTAATATCGGAATGTAGCTGCTGACGGCGAGATATTTTACATTTCCGTCTCGCGCGCGCGAAGTTACGTAAGAGTTAAAGTCGCGGGAACACTTGATGGGATCGAGAAGAATAAAATTCAGATATCTGTGTTACGACACTTTCTGCGGTTTCG